TTTTTACGATAATATTGTTTAAAATTTTATCACAAATAATATTAAGATCGAAAAGTAAAAGTAATGCAAACCTATAAAAGTTTTCTGAGCCTCCTATCGCAACCAAGCAATAAGAGTTCGTTAAACGGGAAAAAACACCAATTTCATTGCTGTTTTCAAATTGTGCACCTGTAAGAATTTTTTCCCTCTCAGTTATTAATATATAATAAATAGACAATAATTGTTCTACAAATAAACTTAATCACTTACGAATTGCCATTTTGAAATAGTTTTTAGAGTATTTATTTTGATTTTTAAATAATGAAGTTTGCTGGAGTTCTTAGATACCGTTAAATATTTAAAACGATGATTCTGCGGTTCGAAGCCGCAGGCATTTTTCTTATTTAAAAATTGTTACACGAAGGCCGCGTCCCGCAGGCATTTTTCTTATTTAAAAATTGTTACACATTAATATTATTCCAGATTTGATTAGTAGTAGTAACGGTAATACGTGTTGAAACTCAATTACGGTACACATGCACTATAAATATTTATTCTATGCGTTAGAAAATAGCTAAACAAAAAAAAAAAAAACTTACATTTTTAATAACAGAACTTCTACCACATCAAGAGAAGAACAAGAGAAGAACAAAGAAAAACAGCAAATTATGTCACTTTACGGTGATTTACCTCCTCCCACACATTCAGCTCCCAGTGTAGACAAAGAGGAAACACAACAATCCGCAACGGAAACGCAATCAGCGAGTTTGAAATCAAAATCTGCACTTCCAGGTACAAGCAGATATGGCAAACCCTAAAAAAATTTAAAAACTATAAACATGGATCTGTTCAAACTATTGTGATAGTATGTACAAAGTAATGAAATCCAACTCAAAAACAAATCACTCACCTGAATAACATTTCGACACGAACGAAATAATACGTGTGCCGAAAATGGATTTTATCAGTTGGTTGGACTCCAGGAACTTTACGTTTTATGCCTACTATTCAAAGAAAACCTGTCATTCAAGCAAAGCCAAAACTCAATAAGGTCTCTGTAACGTCTCCTGCCAACCTGCCTGCTGTATCGACTTCTCCAAACCAGAACGTTGCTTCAACTTCTAGTCTTAACAGTGTTAATTCAACTCCTCCTCCTAATACTGTCACTACTGATAATGTACCCATCGCTACGCCTGGTTCTACGTCAATTTCTTCTCCAAAACAGTTTTCAACTTCCGATGATGTCAATGATTATAAATCCCATTTGAATAATCAACGCAATCAACGCAGCACCTTTGAAAAAGTAATTAATTTTGTTATATTATAATGAAACTTTTGTTTTTCGAGTTCATTCTCATCTACAAATATATTTTGCAGGGCAAAAAACAAGGAAAAGGTACTAAAAGGCAAGCTCCTTTATCCCTAGAAGATGATTATGACCCTACACGCCCAAATGATTATGAGGAATTTAAAGAATATGAAAAAAGACGTAAAGAAATGGCTTATTATGAAGAGCATTCCAGACGCAGGTCAATGAGTCCTGAAGAAAAGCAACGTTCACCACCTCGTAAGTTATAACTCTTATTTTTTTTTTTACAATGCCATATATGTAATATTTTTTAACTAAAATTTTTTTTTCGTTTATTTAATATTAAAGGTTCATTCCCCCCTCCTCCATTATTGTATTCAGAAACTCCATCATCAATTGTTGATACACCTATGCAAGAAGCTCCCAGACCACGTTCTCCGCCTGTCAAAATCGATTTAGATATAACTGGCGAAGAAGCATTTTTACGAAGAGCACGGCTGAGCAACCGCGTTAATGAGACAGTCCAAAAGTATATAATTCTGAAAGTTTACTTCATCTTTATAGAATAGTTAATGAATCATTTATCATCTTTTTTTTTCAGATCTCCTGAGCCAAAAACTACATCTGGTTCAGGCCCAAGTGATGATTTTGCTCATCGAATACTTGCTAAATATGGCTGGCAAGAAGGCCAAGGTAATTTATTCATTTTGATTTTGATTTCTTTTTCTTTTGTTGACATGTTGCAAGGAACCAGTTTTAAAAATTCGATTTTATGTGATAAAATCGAATTTTTAAAACCGGTTCCGACCTCTAGTTGCAAGTTACTTTTTTTATTTACAATTATTATTATATTTATAGGTTTAGGAAAAGATGAACAAGGTATAAATGAACCTTTGAAGGTCCAAAAAACGGACTATAGGTCAGGAATCATCGTTAATACGTCCACTAATACGCCGGGTAATTAAATTTTTGGTTCATTAGTCCGTCTTATCTATTACGTAATTATAATACCTAACCTCAGTTTTAAAATTTTAAATTTTCACTAAGAAGCGAAGTCTCAAGTGAAAAGTGAAATAATTTCTCCAAATTTTGAAATTCCTTCAAGGGTAATTTTATTGACAAACATGGTAAGTATGACCGTACTATGGTGTTTCTTTAAACCTATAATTGTAATAATATTAACATTCATATATATTTAAAGGTTGGTCCTGGCGAAGTGGATGATACTCTTCAAGAAGAAACAGCAGATGAATGCAATGAAAAATATGGACCTGTAGAACGCTGTCTTATCTTCGAGGTCAGTATCTATATGAACTTCTAAATAATATATTTTTATTTTTAAGCCTTGTTGATGAATTTTTTTATAAACTTCGTTTGTTTTGTTTTTTTTTTGATCAGGTACCTCATGGCAAGTTGCCAGATGATCAAGCCGTAAGAATATTCGTGAAATTTGAGACACAAGCAGCTGCATTAAAAGCAAAAAAAGACCTTAATGGCCGTTTCTTTGGAGGTCGTTCTGTTACTGCCAAGTTTTATGATGAATCAAGGTTTGACAAATATGATTTGGTTTAGATTTCTGAACAGGGTATAAATTTTCACTCGGGCCACCTGAAATCGAGTTTCATGTATGATCCTTACAACAACCCTAGAATCATTCATTAAAAAATGTAGCTTATCCTTATTGGTTTGATTATTCTCAAATTATTCCATATTATTTATGTTTTAACAATTGAAACTTGCCAATTTCTTTACGTTTTTTTTTTTTTAAGTTTATTATTCGGTCTTATCCGACATTCTTATAACTATTTTATTATTAGTAAATACCTTTTTAAAACTAATGCCACTTGCAAGTATATTTATGATGCTTTATGTTGGTACTGCCAGAAGAAACCCCACTTTTGATTTTTTTAATTATCTTTGAAAATCCGGGATACGTCATTGAATGCACGTGCTCTAATCGTTTGGATGGCACTAGTTTGTACTTCAATTTGTAAATCTTAACGAAACGAGATTCTTATAAATAAAGTTCAATAGTTTTTTTTTAGAGTATTGTCAGATCTTTCTAAATGCAGGTTGATGGGATCAATTATGAATTATGCATTTAGAGAGTTGCATTAATCTAACTTCATGTTATCTTATTCTAATCAGTGTCTGAAATTCAATTTTAAATTTTTGTTGCGTGATAACGAAATTTTTGGTTGCGTTATAAAATATTTGACTAAAATATATTGATATACACAATTTTGCATACAAATTTCAGGTTTTAGTTGCGGAAATTAAAAATTGTAGCGGCCCAACCCAATTTCATCGTAGTGCTACTTTTAGTATCATCCTTTTAAATTAATATTATAAAAAAGGGTTCCTTAAAGCGGGGTAGATTTTGCGATAATTAACCAATAAAATCGCGAAAATTTGATAAACCCGACGAAGAAAAAAATGCGAAAAATACAAGAAACGGCAGTCGGAACCCACTTTGGTGCATTAATAAAAAATGTCGGGAAGGCAATTTTACAACCCTAATCCTAATGTTAAGTTAATGAAAGAATGATTTTTCATGATCTACCCCGCTTTAAGGACCCCTATAAAAATTCATATCGGCCGATTGATAAATAGAAAAACCAATCTGTCATAGCTCTGGTCAAATTTAATTTGAACCGAGAAAAAATTCCTTAGTCGGGTAACCGAACCGAAATATTTAATGTCAACCGATTGCAACCGATTAAGATTACTTCACACTTTACCTTCAGAAGTTCTCGGACCTTTAATGTTCATTCATTTTCTTTTCGGAAGTTCTCGGTCCACTTGCTCCTTCTTGATGTCATTTACATCCTGTCAACCGATTACCGATACTCAACCGGATACCCGAAATTTATTCAATTCGGGGTCGGTTAACCGATTATAGCCCAACCGGTTCAAATCACTACATACCGTACTTTCGCGAAAGAACGCACATGGGCGTTATTTCTAAAATTGCACTTCCTTAGAATAGCACCCCATATATTAACGTTAATAAATTGTTATTATACTCACGCATGCGCGTACGCGCAGGTGGGTGTTATTCGCGAAAATACGTTAAGTCCCTGTAACAGATACAAAGGTTGTTCCGGACAATAATAATTGTAACAGAATTGACTCAATTAATGTTTAATAAATGTGTGTTTTACATGATTTTTTTTTTTTTTTGCGGACTCAAAAACACGGTATCAAATTTAAGAATATCTATCTATTTATACTGTATATATAAATATATCAAAATTACAGTATGATTAAGTCTTTCTGATTAATTATTATTTTTAATTATTACTAGTATTTTAACGAATTTTTTAAAATAAATTTTTTTTTGTTTAAAATAAATAAAATGGTATATAAATTATAAATTATCAAATCCTAATTTATGTATTTTTTCATCTTTATTAGACTTGATATTATCCAAATTTTTCCACCAAGTAAAAAGGAATTTTTCTGATATAAGTTTAAACCAGGGAGTAAATTTCCAATCTTTTTGTAATTAAATAATATTGATTAGTAAGAATAGAATTTATGAATAGTAAAAAAAAAAAAAATTCTTTTAAATAAATATTAAAAAAAAAAGTTATTAGAAAGAACAAATATAATAACATACCACCAGGATCTTTAAATCTTTGGTATAACTCATCTAAAGACACATATTCAACAGCCTTAACTTCATTTTTATTTACCTCAAGATCAACA